AAATGTCCAAAACACTTGCAGAGCAGGTGGGCTGTGCACTCTAAATGTGTTGTCTGTGATAGACTGTGATCTGTTCACACTGTTTCTCTGCCTCCTGGCCAATACATGCTGGCATGGGATCCAGCTCTCTCTGTGAGGGTAAATAGGAATAATCTGGTAAAACAATGAACACATTCACCTTAACTGTATTACACTGTGAGTTGTTAGAGTGCCAGTAACGCTGCAGAAAAGGCCCTTAGGTGCCAGAGAACAACAGCTTACTGATCCTCTTCAGGAGCTGAACAATATAAATCTAATCTCTCTCTCTCTCTCTCCATCAGAAACACAAAGTGGATCTGTTCTACAAGGTTCGCCACGTGATGATGGAGCTGATCGACCTGAGAAGGCAGCTCCTGTCTGGTCACCTGACGCAGGACCAGAGCCGAGACGTCAAGAGACACATCACCGTCAGACTGGACTGGGGCAACGAGTGAGAATACAAACACACACACATACACACACACAGACAGGCATGAACCGGGACATCAGGATAAAAAATAAATACAAACAATGAAAGAGATTATTTTGCAAATTATCTGCACTGGGGCAAATAAATTTAGACAATTAAAATTAAAAGAATAAAAATACCCATCACCAATACATAATAAAAACACCAATAATAAACTAACAGTATGACATGTAACATGATGGAAATTAAATGGTTTACTAAAATAAGCTTTTTTGAAAAGATGTGTTTTGAGAAGTGAGTTTAAAGATGGTTCTAATAAAGCAGACTTTTTGTATCCGCTCTTTATAAAAGTATATACTACTTTACTTTACTACTGTATTAGTATGTTGCTTTTCAGAACAGATTATGATGGGTTTGATTCTAAAAAGCGTAAATCACTTTAGGATAAAGCACTTTTGCATATTGTAAATAGTTTTATTGTAAAAAGAAGATCTCCAGGGAATCAGGTAGTTAGAGACTGAAGAACAGTTAGCAGTTTATCAATTTAATAAAACACACTTAAGATAATCATATGAACATAATTACAATCAAAATGCATCAAAGACCAGTTTAGCATACCGCCTCCCATAAGGTTTATAAGCTAAAGAAATTACTGGCAGAGATATATGTGCAGTGTTACCAAATAATCACGCTAATACATGGTTTGCAATTATGAATATCAGCACACTCAACTTTTACACAGAAATAAATGGAGTTAATGTAGGTGAATGGCAGAGAGGAAACACACCAACGTCTTAATATCAGTTAACTGAACTAAACCTCCCATCAGCAGCTCGTAACACGGCTAAACTTATTACATAAAGACGTATATTGACTTAAAGTATGTTCTACTGAAGAATAACACAAACATCATCCACATGGATGTGTTGATGCTTAAAGATGATGTGAACTCTAAATCAGTGCTTCACACAGCAGAGCAGCGTGTTCCCCCGACACCCACTCAGGGCAAATCAAAGAATGATTGGAGGCAGGTGGATGAGGCCGTACACCAGTGGTTGACGACTCATGGGAGCTTGTCAAAAGGCTGATGGAAAACAAATGAAAAGGAAAGAAATATCCGTTGACTTGGGATTGAGTTATTAATACTGGAGAAATGAAAGGCGGGCGGCCCAGGACTGTAACACAGGTTATTTAAAGCTCTAGCCCGCTGCCTGTGGAGAAGAGACACAGACTGTGAGGGGATATGTGTGCTCATAAGCCGCGGAGGATGATCATGATCATTATTATCCTACACAGAAATATGAGGTATTCCTTTTGCTGCTGTAATAATTAAAGGGTTAGTTCAGATTTTTCTTCACAAGTTGCAGTTACATGCTAGTTGTCATATAATGCATGTGTACAAGCTGAGGCTAGTGGTCCCTTTGAAGCAGGCAGACAAAAATGAACATGAACTCACGACAACAAACTGAGCTAACAAACATTTTAAACCGTAATAGCCCTCAAAAACAACTAGGTGCTGCAAATTCGGTCCCCAGCTGGCGCGAGAAGTGACATATCAGATAAAAAAGGAGCAGCAGCTGAGGCAGTAGCATTAGTTTATAGCCTGAATGCTAATTCAGCCTGAAAGGCAGCGTGATAGGAAACAAGCTCCACTGCATCTTCTTCTGTTGTGGATTTTTTTCTAATTTTAAACATCTTTAAGTGTTCTGGTAGCTCTTTTCAAATTTGGAAGAAATGCTCTTATTACTGTAGAGTTTATTAGATCTATTAGTCGATGAATCAAATACTCATTCAAAAGAAAGTTCAAAAGAAAACTACTCAATCAGTCATTTGCGTCATTGAATATCATGTTATGTTGATGTGAGGATTGGCTGATTTTCTAGGTCTTGTATGATTGTAAATTAAATATCTTTAAGACAAAACAAGACATTTTTCACTATTGTCTGACTTTGTAAAGACAAAATGATCAATTAATTAAAGGGATAGTTTGGGTATTTTCAAGGGGGGTTAAATGTGATACTTATCTATAGTCAGTCCCTCCAGGAAATTGCGATGTTGTGATCACAACTATTAATGCAAATCAACCAATCCCTGTGAATTCTGAATATATATATATATATTTGTTTCTCCCGCAATTTCATTGCCAAAAAAACCTTGTTTTTGTTTTATTTTTGAAAAGTGAAATTAGGCAACAAAAGCCCACAAAAAATCTGGACAGTAGTGTTCAACGTGCACCCCCAGTTTGGAGAAACAGGCAGGAGTCCTGGCAGAGAAAAACAATGTACATTAAAAAGGCCCACCTAATGAAAAATCAATATCAGTTGACGTGTATGCTATTTTAGGAATATTTTCACCTGCACTTTATCTATCTATTTTTTTGTGGTGGGCTTTGTCTTGTGGCTAAGTTTTTCTGCTGACCCCGTCCACAGCAGTGCATCGCTCAGCTTCCATGCTGGTGCTCCTGTCTGCTTCTCCACAGTGGGGGCGCACTGACCAACGTTTACTGTAGGTACTACAATGACTGTGGATAAATATGTCACTCAGCCCCACTTCAGAATACTCAAGCCAATCATCCTCAGAATAATCAGTAATGACAATAATTATTAGCTGCAGACATTTTTTTTTTCATAAATGAAACTAATTTAGTGTTTCTGCCTCGATGGTGTTCTTTGTATGAAAAGAAGAGAGTCACAGCTCAGTAAAATGTAATGGATAAAACCCTTGGTTCTTAAACTTTATCAGCCAGTGAGTGGTGTGTGTCCTCTGCCTCTGGAGCCTTGGGCCCTCCTCTGCCAGCAGTAATATAGAAATACACATTTAGTTTCTCATTCACAGTTAAAGGAAACATTTTACAGACAATATTCTGCAACGTATCCTTAAGAGCAAGGTCACTGGTCTGTGGGTGAAAGATGTTGTTGTTGAGATTGAACAAAAAGTAATCCTGAGGAACATTATCCCTGAAGGCCACATCTAAAATTACTTTAATATACTATTATATATACTGTGTGTGTGTGTGTGTGTGTGTGTGAGATGGTGGAGATTTCTATATATCAAAAATAATGTACAAGGTTTGTGTGAAGGTTATGAAAGATACTGATGTTTCTCTCGCTCTCTCTCTCTCTCTCTCAGACACATGGGTCTGGACTTGGTGCCCAGAAAGGAGTTTGAGATGGTGGATGAAGACCAGATAAGCGTGTCAGATCTTTATAAGATGGTGAGACCTTTATGTAGTGCAGGAAATAACCTTAGGGGACTGAGTAATCCCAGCTGAGGGGAGGGTATCTCGTCTGAACAGACCTGAAACATCCAGTAATCCCGGATTACATCACCATTATGAGTGCAGTAGAAGATAAACTCAAAAACCTCACAACAACCATGTCTGAAGGACAGGGTATTTGCAAGCATCCATCAAGTGCATTCAGAAAGAGATACACCCTTAAGAAGTGGCACATTCCCCAGAATACAAAACAGATTTTTAAGGTCCAGCGCTAACAGATGTTTTATCAGACCTTTTATCTATCCCTATTATTTTACATTAGCAAACAGTAATAAAAAGCATAGAATGTAAGTGGCAGATTCTCATTTTTTGTCGTCACTCGCTGCCTTTGATTAAATGCTACGTGAGTTATTGTCGTAAATTGTTTGGAAAAGGGCAGGCACCTTAAAAAAATACTCGGTAGGTGATTGTCTACCACGGGTGAACTTCAACCGCTCAGGTCGACGTAGTCAAACTCTTACTGAAGCCAGTCCGGAAAAGAGCAAAAACATATTTTCCATCGAGAAAAAAACTCTTCTGTGCTGTTCTTTGCTCTTCTTTTAACAAACTCTCCAGTTCTGATAAAGTTGTTGCTTGCAGCTACTTTACTCTCAGCTGTGGTTGTTTGAGTTTGGTGACTGCAGGCCGATTTGTGAATGTCTTGAAACTCCAGCTGGTGGGGAGCTTTAGTTTCAAATCAGAGGATGCATGATGGACAGCGAGGTTTGGAAGCCTGAAGCCTCGGCAGCTGGTGCAGTAATCATTGAGTGATTGTAACAGACAGATCAACAACTTCATCACCTTCAGATATTTAACACAGACATATTTTAAACTAAGCAGCAGACGTCTTACCTGATGCTCCTTGACATACTGGTTTTATAAAAAATAAAGCTATAGAGTTGTAACTAAGGGAAGGTTTGTTGTGTGTGTGCTGTAAATCAGCCACCTGTTGGTGTGTTTTGATTCTCTCTCCTGCTGGCTGTCCTCTCATCCCCCTCATCCCTCTACTTCTGTTGTTTTTCCTTCTTATTTTCCTCTCCCAACTGAGAGCTACCAACCAAATCTCTCTATGTATATGAAGAATAGCACTTTATTGTATGGTGTATGCGATACTAATCACAGATGAATCTTCATGTATAAAGTGAAGGCTTAAAGACCTTCCATGTTTTGATTTTAGCACATTCAGTGTCTCAGCTGGAAGAATCCCAGTATAATCACAGACCTCGACTGGTGGCTTCATCAGGATACTTCAGGCTGCTTCAAAAGTAGTTCAGAAAATCAACACTCTGGATCTGAACCAGTTTCTGAACCAATGACTGTCAATCATGTTTTTTCTGTAATTTGTTTTTTGTAATCTGCAATGACCTTTTAATGAATCCACTCACTATAACTCACTGTTGTTCACAATTTTAACTGTTGTTTGAGCTATTGTGCTGCATTTGAGTCCTACATGAAATATCAGAACACATGAAGGATCTATGAAAGGGTGAATGTCAGAGATGATTAGCATCTTCTCTACATCACTGACCTGCAGTGCTTTAACGTTAGCACTCAAGTCCAGTCTCTGACTCCAGTACTACTCCTGTTTTTTTATTGTCTCGAACTCGTTGATATTTGCTCTCAGACTTGGTCATTGGTTCCACCAAATATTTTAGTTAGTGCAGACAATATAATGTTCATTTTTTCTGAAGTAACTTCCTTTCAAAACAAAATTAATTGAACTGAATGCTTGTTCAGGTATTGGTTTAATTTAAAATCCATCTAGAACAGGCATTGATTGATATTGGCCGCCATGGCAATAGAATGAAAAAGCATTCTTTTTTTTCTGTGTCAGCCTTGACTCTGTCTCTTTCATTTGGACTCAAACCTGTTTGGAGTCTTTGGCTTTGACATTACTTGATATAAAAATATATCTGTTTTTGTTTGAAATATTTTTACTGGAAACATTTTGTGAAAATCTTGACATTTATACAGAGTAAGGAACTGCTTCAAATTGTAGAGAGTACGTAAGTGAAGAGAAGGAGAAAAGATAAAGGGGCATATGTTCGTCTAATTACCCCTTCACCCGCCTTTCGACCATTACTTGTAATTTGTAATTTGAGATGGTTTTAATTTGTGTTATTCAGGAAAAGACCATATTTGAAAAAATGCTTCAGTTCTATTCTATATCATGCAGGATAAACCTAATATTATATACATTTTAATACTTTGTCCTTCATATGTTCACAGTATGGATGGGTAATCTAATTTTCAGAAACATTGAATGGGATCAGATGTTTAATGTAGGTCTGAGTTGCTGCAATGTGCAGAGTATTCCTGGTTGTTCATGGTCTCTTAGTAATACTTGATGTTCTGTGTTCTTACATCAGTCCTGCTTTAAATAGCTGAGCTGTACCAGTCAAACACTGTAGTCGTGGTGATTCCCCCTTTGTCCCGTTGCCTAGAGACAGATCTACAGACACAGGGAAGAGGAAGAAAGAGAAACAGAGAGATAAAGCGGTAAAGTTGACAGATGGTAGGATGGAAGGTGGGGAACAGCTAACGTGCAGAAGGAGAAAAAACATAGCAAGCCTTTTTTTTACTATTTCTGACCTAGAATGTTTTCTTTACAGACGTGTACATTGATAAGAATGACAAGAACAAATAAAGACAAAAAAAAGAAGGTAACACAGGCAAGAGACGGATATGAAATTATATTAAAAGTATAATTCAAATGGTTCCCTGTTGGTAAATTGTTTATTTTCAGTAATTACTATTTGCTCTTGTTTCAGTCTTGGTTGTTAAAATTGACCAAGGAAAGGTCAAGATGAAGTAAACACAAGATAAGATCAAATTAAACTTCCATTGATCCCTGAGGTGAATTTACATAACTGCAGCAGCAGCAGAAAAAGATACTAGAACACAAAGTAAGCAATAAGAAACTTTCCAGAATAATACAGCAGGAAAACAATCAATCGCAAGATAGTGCACTGTGAATATAAAGCAACTGTTGACTGATAAAAACATATATTTTTTTGGATAGAACTGGATTATTTATGGGAATATGCTTGATTAATTAAAGATATTTACATGTTTCCAAACCACTGACATATGGAAAATGGATGTAGCGTCTATATTTTCTGCCACTGTACAAAAATTAAGCTTCGGTATCGAGGTCCCACCCACACACTTGTCCAAGTCAATCTTGAGCAGGGCTGAGCTGTCAATGATGACATGAAACCCCCTTTTCATAGCATCAAGTAACTGATTCAAACCAAATCAGCGTGTTAAGAACTACCTGAAGCGCCGAAAAGCATCTTTGGGAAAACAAATATTTGACGTGTATTGACGTATTATTTTTTAATTTTTTGTTTGGCTCCATCTGCTAACATGGAGGGGCCGGGGCTTACGACTTATACTGGAACCAGCAGACACCAGACATATTTTGTCTTCACTTTCGGGGAGCTGTCATTTTGTATAAAACATGTATAACAAAAATGGGTGATGAAATAATGTAGTTATTTGCATGAACCAGTTCCATCTCTCGACTCTGGGGATATTTCTCGTACACCAGCTGAACACTTTGAAGCAGCAACATTTCTGATTGGTTACTCGGCAAAATCCAGTGTTAGAAAGCCAAACGAGGAAGTGGCTGCAGGCTGGTGTTAATTCTCTGCTCAGGTTGGAATATTTGCAGATTGCTTGTGTTTGACAGTCATTACTTCAATTCATCAAACAGGTTTTCACTTCTCGCCGGCTCTCTTCTCGTACAGCCACGAAGAGATTTAGAGAGACAAGTCGGAGTAATGAGTCTCTCGGGCGTTTAAGCATTTTCATCATCTGAGGAGGAGAATGAGGAGAACAGAATGGAATACAATAGTGTGCAGGGGAGGATAACAGAGCTGGGAAAGGAGGAGAGGAGACAGGGAGAGGAGAGAAGGCAAGAAAAGGAGGAGAGGAAACAAGGGGGAAATAGGAGCAGAGGAAAGGAGAAGGAGAGTAGAGAAGAGATGGAACAAGAAGAGACAATGAGAGGAGAGGAGGAGAGGGATGGCGAAGATAGAAGGCAAGGAGATTAAAATTAGTATAAATGAGAATGAAATGAAATCAGTATAGAGGAAAGGAAACAAGGTGAGGAGGAGGAAAGGAGTGTGAGGAGAGAACATGATTATTTCACCTGTAATTGTTTTGTGTCTTTCTCTCTTCCACAGCATCTGTCTAGCAGACACAGTGTACAGCAGAGCACCACACAGGTAACGCACCGGATACTGTCTGTAATCCTATCAGGCATCAAGTCCTTAAGCACTATACTAAAGTACAGTTTTGAGATACTGGTAGTGCATTTCTGTTTCCCATGAAAATACTGCTAACACATAAGACTTTCAATAATTCAACTCTAAACAAAAATCACAGTTTGTACTTTAACTATGTCAAACTCCTTCTGCACAGTGAAGGTGCATCAAAAAAGTTTACTTATAATCAATAAATAACATCTTGTTTGTTTACAGTAACTACGCTAATGTTCCAGAATTGTATTTGGTAATTTATTTAATTTATTGTTGTTTATTTAGTTAAATTTATGTACAGGACAGATAAGCTTTAAAGGCTACAAATGATACATTTTCCCATAATGCTTGTTTTGTCGCGGATTTTCAGGGTGACGGCACCCGGCAGCGACACGGGGAGCCATGTAGAGTTCCAGTACCACACCACCTACTGGTCAACCTGAAGAGCTTCACCTATAACAGCATAGGAGAAGACACGGACATATTCTTCTCTCTGTATGACCTGAGAGAGGGCAAAACCATCAGGTAGGAACATACACCCCTTAAACACATCATGTGGGCAATGGACTCTTCAATTTCTTGTTTTCTGGATTTCTGTTAGCATGTTCTTCCAGCTGGTTTTAATGAGTTTGCTGATATGACTGAAGTAGGAACGCAGCAGTACACAAAAGAAATGATTTGAATCTCTAGTGGTGGATTTTGCTTAGTGATTTATGGAGTCTTGGGGGGTTATGTGCTGATTAACTATAATTTGCTGCAAAAGAGTGGTCACAGTTAAATTAATCACAGCAGTACATATTCATTTGGTATTATATAATAATAATATTGTTAGCAGTCTTTGTGTTTCTGTTTTAATATCTCATCTTTATTGGTCACAGTTAACCCTGCAATAACTGATGTTTTGGCCATTGAGGGGAAGCGGAAACAAGTTGTGAACATTGACATATCATCACCATTTAAATTGATACAGTGAAACTATTCAGCAAAGAGTTGCCAATTTATAAATCCAGCAGTTATGGAACAACATGTTCATTCATTCAAGTCCAATATTCACTCTCTTTTAGCTTTGTTTGGGTCTTCCTAACTCCTGAGGGAAATATCTGGCTCCACTATGTTCACCAGCTAGTCTCTAACTGTGTCTGCTGTGTGCTGTTGAGCAGGTAGTGTACTGTGGGAGAGACAATAAACAATGAGATGAAACTTGCTATAAAAGCTCTGTTAAGCTGGGAGGAGCTGCAGATTCAGCTGATAATTCTCTATAGGTTCATTACTGGGAACCCCTTTGACATTGTCATGTTTTCACTTTCTCAAGATATAGCCACTTTAAACATACTACAAGGAGTTTTTAACTGATTGTGAAACAGCATTCATTTAATACTGACGCCTTTATATCAGTGGTTCTCAACAGGTTTCACCTTGGGATCCACATTTTCCATTAAGTCGCATCTCACTTTTATAGAATTCAAACCAAGCAAATGTATTTTTCAAATAGGCTATTAAACACATACACTGTCATCATGGCCCTTTCTGACATAAAATACACTTATATTTCCATCCATGGATTCAGGCAGGGTCCGTGTTTTGCATACTTCTACACACATCGACACATAAACACACACTGCCCAATGCCATCTTCTTACGTAACGTAAAATGTACTCATATTTTCATCCCTGCAATCAGAGCACATCACTCTGATTGAGTATGAAGATCACAACTGCTTGCTGCTGGTTCTTATGAATAGGATTTAAATTAACATACAACTGCATAACGACACACAAAATAAATATGTTCCACAAAATGGGCTGTTTGCACAAAAGGCTTTTTTCTCGAGTCAGTCATAATATAGCAAATCATTAAAAATAGGTATTTTCTTTTTTTTGACCACACACTCTGAGACTCATTTAGAACGAGTTGCAACCGACCCATTGAGACAGCGTGCTCTATATGACCTACAAACACAAACAAGACCACCAGCAAGGAGATTGGCTATATAGTTATTGTTAATGCCTTCCAGCAGGTCGGATTCGGTCGGATTGAGACGAGATGAGAGATCAAACACTACTGTTGTCATGGGGCTGCCAGAACACAAACACAAAATGTAGTAAAGTACAGTGCTGCCAAAGCATATACAAGGTGTATAGTGTCTCTCTCTGCTCTTTATGTAACCTTTCACCCACTCTCTCTCTCTCATATCTGACATATTGCCTTCATAATATGGAACAAATAGTGGCAAGTGGCCACACACAGCTGCTGTGAATAATACATGACCAAGCAGCATAATTATTGCACATCAATTATGCATTAGTGAAGTGATCACAATGCTAACGGATAAGGAATTGCTAATGCTGTGATGGCAGAAGGGTGTGTGTATGTGTGTGTGTTTTGGGTGTGTTCTATGTTCGTTAGGATTATACGAACTTACATAGGCAGGTCGCCCGTTCACGGTGTAGGGTCAATGAGGACATTTATCTACACAAATGTTGATGATTAGCCAGAAAGTAGAACTAATAGGGTGTTTGTGTACAATGTGCTTTCTCTCCATGTAGTTTGGTCGAGGAGAGAGAGAGAGAGAGGAAGTTGAGACGAGAGAAGAGGAGAGAGAGGAGAGAGAGAGTGTTTTTGTCTGTACAGAACAACAGGTGAGGGTTCAACAAACACAACACTCTTTTTGTTAATTTAGTTTCTCACTCTGTCTCTTCATAGCAAACCAGCTGGAGCGCTCTCTGTCTGCTCGCACGCACGCACGCACACACACAACAACACACACACACACACGCCCACACACACACTACACACACACACACACACACACACACACACACACACACACAGACCACAAATACATTTGACCTTGGCAGCTTGTTTTCAATGTCTGGTCTGACTCAGCATTAGAGTCTAATGACAAGACCTGCTCCTCTGAGACGCTCAGATGGGAGAGGACAGGGGATGAAAAGAGAGAGGAGGGAATGGGAGAGGAGGAAGAGAGGTGAGAAAGAGAGGATGGAGCATGGAAAAGGAGAAGAAGGAGAGGGAAGAGAAGAGGAGGGAGGAACTTCCATGGCTGACCATGGCTTTCCAACAAGAATCTCCGGCTTATTGAGGACTGTTTTTTTGTCCCTCCAGAGCTTTGCTTCCGCTGGAGGAAATTATTGTGGCAGACTTAAACTCCAATTGAAAGAGTGTGGTGTGTGTGTCTGTGTGTGTCTTTGCGTCTCTTGTTATTGCCCATCTAATAAGCACCGTGATCCCTCTGCAGTGAGAGGCTGAGATGGAGGCTGTAATGTGGTTGATCTCAGCAGGTGATTTCTCTCTGACTTTTTCTCAGGTCTCCTTCCCCAAAGCCATCAGTGTGTCTCTGTGGGGACGTCTGAGAGGAAACTGAAACCTTCCACAGATTTCTCATTTCGTCTTTCCTCTCAGGCAGACCAAAGACTCTGTTTCAGGGAGCAGCAAACAATTGTCTGTCGGTCTCAGGAAAACCTTTTTGTTTGTGCAGAAGGAGAAACATTTTAAGGAAATTCCAAATTCATGTTGTTTGTAGAAGCTTATAAGGCTCATTTGAAACTCTCTATTTAAAGGTTGCTAATTTTACACTGTCGGACTGTTTGACTCAGGCTTTGCTTGTTTGAATTCTAAATGGATTATACATCAGGATGCTATGCCCTATAAAACCTTGATCGTGTTTTAAATAGGATTAACAGACTAAAAACTGGTTTTCTTTACCTTTGATGGAAGCTATTGTTAAGCCATTTCACATTTTATATTCAGCATTCCTATTTTCAGTTCAAAAATTAACTGCTGTAAACTGTCAACTGCTGTAAAACCCCACAGAAGAAGAGAACAACAAACACAATCACGATGATGTTTGTTGACTCCGAGCAGGAAGCCAGCTTTGATATTGAATGACAGACGAAAATCAAGAAAATGGATTTGTGGTTGAAATGGAGCAGCAAAACAGCTGAAAACACGGAGAAAGAAGCAAAAAAGAAAGAGAAAACAGAGCCAACAAAATAGCATCAGTGTCAGGAAGAATATGTTTTAATAGGGTTTACCTCAGCGGGCTGCAACCCTTCTGAGGCATTGTGCTTTTACAGTTACAAGGTTGTTGTTTAATAAATCAGACACTGATGGCGCAGCGCTGTATTGTAGGCTACCTCTCATATGGGAATTTATTTTCTGTCAAAAATGTTTTGCGCTGGTCAGAGAGTACAGAAAACAGAAAACAGAAAACATAATTGAATTGAACTGAGTTAGTCAACTAATTCTTTGTCCGAATTAAAATGAGTTTAAAAGTAAAAGTTCTGTTTAATTGTGAGAACTTCTCTTGCTTCTTATCTAAATAGACAGAGGTGGGAAGTAATCAAGTACAAATATTTACTGCCATGCTTTTTACTTTTACCCCCTAAATTTTTATACAATATCTCTAAGTTGTACTCCTTACATTTTCTCATTACAGACTCGTTTCAGTTTGTTTTGCACAGAAACAGCCAGTAATAATTTATGCTTTGAGTATATTTCAGAGCCTATACTTCTACTTGAGTAAGGAGTGAGTGTACTTCTGCCACGTCTGAATACGGGGTGAGTGAAAACGAAAAATGTGCATTATTTGAAAATATAAACTACATGTTTAAGAAACCTGCAATGAAATGACGTCTAACTCTCAGAGGAACCTCGATAAGTTTAGTGATACTTTTTCTCCAACTTACCAGTAACCTGTGGTAAATAAGAAGCAACATGAAACATATGGTCTGTATTCTGTACACCATCATCAGCCGGGTTTCAACTCCATCAGGAGTCAGCTTTGATCTTCTTCTACAAGTAGAACAGACTTTTCCACTCCAGTCATGACAGCAGAACACTATTAACTCTGTATTCTGTCACTGGATTTTAAATCTCATCCCTCCAAGGTGTGACTCACTGGAGTCTGTTCTCACTGAGTCACTTCTCTTCTTTTCAATATCATTTTCTTCTCATCACGGAAACATCTTTAAGCTTTTCTTTATTTTTCCTTCCCAACAACTTCTTTCTTACATGATTTTTTTTCATTTCATTTTCATTCTGTATCACTTTGGTTAATCGATTCAACTGAACGCCTAAGATAATGCTATAAATCTGCACGGTGTAGTGAAAGCGAGTGTTTGTGCAGCATCATCAGCTGTAATGTAATGCAGTGAAATCAGCCGTTAAGTGTTGAATCAAGGTTAAATTGAAAATGGCTTCACTCTACTGAATTTAAACTAATAGAAGATAGTCCACTTGTGTCATGTAGAGACAAGCTTTTTACTGGAAGGTTGTAAAATCAATGCATTTGTATAGCCCAGTATCACATACTAGGTTTAAAAAAATTAGACAAATACTAGTAATATTCCAAATAATAAATAATAATAAATGCGATTGCCAGAACATTAGGCTATAAATGAACTACACCATGTTCGCATGACTTCAACATCGCCACCACTAAACCTCCAACTAATTAAATCTTGTGATTAAAATCTACAAATTGTTTGAGTTTGAATGTTTGCAAG